CACTGCTACTACTGCTACCGCTACTACTGCTGCTACTACTACTACTACTACTGCTACCACTACTACTACTACTGCTTCTTCTTCTTCGTACGTATTCAGCGTAGTGCTGAAGCGTGCTCTGTAGAGCAGTTTGTCTGTTCGGGCTCCTGTAGAAACATGGCGGTGCCACATGGGTCCTTCCATGTAAGAGGCCCCGCCCACACGTACTCATGTTGAGTTCTCCTGTCTCATCCCGGCAGGTCTTCATCGGGGACCTGGTGTTAAAACTTCACGGTTTGCAGAAGCAGGAGGATCTGCACAACGACGGCATCGACCTCCCTCAGCTCCACATCTACCCCACCCGTCCTGGATCAACTGACAGGGAGGCGCTGCTCTGAGACAGCAAGCACACCCAGTCTGACCCAGTCTGATCCTGATGATCCCGACCTGCCACCCCCCCACGCACCGGTACACCCCACCTACAACCTGGAGGCACCGGACAGGAAAACAACCACACCTAAAGTTTACAACCACCTGAGCTGTCCCGAGGTTATCCAATCAGACGAGCCGCAGAGCATCACATGACCAACTCTTATCAGCAGGCTGAACTTATCCAACACACACACAGAGGCTGTTTGTTCCTGAGTTTACTTTCCTGAGGTGGTCGATAGGCATTGTGGGTAAAAAGTTTCAAATGATTGATGAGTTCCTGGTTTGACCAGCTTTGAGATGAGAGGTTTTACTTTGGTATTTCAGTCCCTGAGGGGGCGGAGCTACGGCACGCGGCAGCATGTTCAGAGCTCAAACAGAAACTCAGTTTCCAGGTGTCCAACAGAGTCTCAGGTGGTTCAGCAGAGACGTCCACAGCGAGACTTCCGTTATCAGAGTGGCTTCATGAAGACGAACTCTGTTTGATTTGATCCTTTTTAAAGAGCCTGAACTCTGAAGAAACTACATTTCCCTGCATATGGTCTGTCCTGGTCCTGCTGTCTGTCCTGGTCTTGTATTGTTTGTACATTATTTAAAAATAAATCTGTGCATTTGAAATGACTCCTCCTTCAGACATCTTAAATGATCATTTCCGTTTATTATTATTCTGGTCTTCAGAATTAGAATCCGCTTTATTTGCCAGGTATGTGTACACACACGAGGAGTCTGACTCTGGATCGTACATTGCTCACGATGTACTCATACAATAAAGAATCAGACACTGCAGGATAATGAACACGTTTTATTTTATTTATGGTTTATTTTATTAGGGACATAGAAACTGAAAACCAATCCAATGCTAATTTGCAACACCCGTCCCTAGAAGGGTTTTTAAAGAAATAAAAGATTAAAATAGTGACGATAAAAGAAAGAAAAAATATAATACAATACATTAAAGTGTAACACAAGATGAAAGTAAATTGAGTAAATCAAAACACAATAAAAAAATACGTAACACTAACTACAACAGACTGGACGTGAGTACAAGTTTGTTGCTAAACTAACCAGGACTCGGCCTGCAGCAGTTTAAGTGTTTCGGCAGCAAGTTCAGAGACTTTGCTCCTTTCACAGAAAAGGCCGTCTGAGCAAAAGAAGTTTTGCAAAACGAAACTTTACAGTCGCCACTTGAAGCTTCTCTGGTGGATCTGCTGCTGCTGCTCTGTAGTCTCTTAATGTACACACAGAGAGGCTGAAGTCCATTTAAACATTTAATACAAGCTTCACATAATGAAAATCAATGAAGTTTGCTAAATTTAAAATCTTGTATTTGCTTAAGACGCGACAGTGAAGGTACCTGACTTGCTTTTTGTCCAGGGTTTTCAAGTCTCGACTGCAAAGACACTCCGTAGATTTAATCACTGACTGACCTGGGACCAGTTAGGTAAACCATAAAAAGTATCACTGAATTTAGAAACATTAAGGTACAATCAAATGTCAAGCATTTTCTTATCATCTTAGAACAGGTAAGGTTAGCCTTAATCGTTTTGCAAATCTTTTTAGTGTGACTTTTGAAATTTATCCCCAGATGATACCTCACTATCATTATCATTATTATTATGTACATGTTGAAGGTGGATGTGATATACACATATACATATATGTACATATACATACACATGTACACAGTGGGATGGAGCATAGTGCAAAGGATGCTAGAATAAAGTATTATGCAGGTTCTGTACGTGAGGTAGGTGGATATGACCTATACAGCATGAACCGTGAACAGCCCTGAATTACAGAATGACGAATATATAGTGTATAAGTGTTACCCAGTAAACAGGTCACTGATGAGAGGCAGAGTTACTGGGTTATTGCACAAGAATTGTTCCTGACACTGTGAGTCAGAGTCAGCTGTTCATCAGAGTGATGGCTTGTGGGAAGAAACTGCTTCTGAGTCTGTTGGTTTTGGCGTATAGTGCTCTGTAGAGCCTACCAGAGGGGAGGAGCTGGAACAGGTTGTGTTCGGGGTGAGATGGATCTGCAGTGATGTTTCCTGCCCGTTTCCTGACTCTGGAAATGTATAAGTCCTGAGTGGAGGGCAGGTTGGCACCCATGATTTTTTCTGCAGTCCTGACTGTCCGTTGTAGTCTGCTCCTGTCCTTTTTGGTGGCAGATCCAAACCAGACAGTGATGGAGGTGCAGAGGACAGACTGGCTGATGGCTGTGTAGAACTTGATCAGAAGGTCCTTCGGCAGGCTGAGCTTCCTGAGCTGACGCCGGCTCTCTTTCCTCTGAGCTAACACAACACCGGCCATTGTACCTGGTCCGGTTGATCTGGCTGGTGGATCGTGGTCCGCTGCTCTTTTCCAGTGACTGTATTACTGTCATTGGAAACGCGTGTTTAAGCAACAAAGCCGGAAAAAAATGATGAAAAACAAAAAGTGAAGTCTGAAGGAGCTGCTGCTTCTACAAGCTCTGTCGGCTGCATATGATGGCATGGATGGCATCACCTCGATATATCCGCCAGCATCCTGCTGACAGGTTACAATCCTCATCTCCTACAATGCCTCCCGTAAGGTAAGGTCAGGTAAGGTAAGGTCAGGTCAGATCGCTGGAACAGCAGAGGTAGCCGGATTCACGCAGGAACACGTGGATGAACCCGAGGATGGTGTTTAGCTCCATGCAAACACAGAAACAGGAAGCAGTGCAGGGCGGCTTCGTGCCAGCAACATCAACTAACCTCACACTATCACACATGACTAGCCAAAATAACCAAACACCGCACAACTACAGAGCTGAGAAAACTGACATGTCCGGCTTAAAAATAAGTTTTTTAAATACTTAAGTACTTTGAAGCTCTCCTGTCATTTACATCAAATCATTTTCATTTGTACTGCAACTACATGTGATATAACCACATGCACATGCTCACTTCCAGCCTCTACACCTGACACAACCTGAGTAAACAGCATTTACCCGTCACACTGTAGGAGCCCGGCCGGTCGGTCCTAAGAGGAGCCGGAGAAGACCAGTGGTCCTAGGGGGACACTGCTGCGTCCGACTCACAATGTTAACCACGTTTCACGTCAGGTGACTGACCACACGTGTTTAAGGTGTGCCTATCGCTGGACTGGTACTTTCCAACGGTCATTGTTTTGGGACACTGAAGGTATGAGGACGTGTTGATGCTGTCATGCTATCAAATAAGCGCCAAACTAAAATTAAACTCCATCAGAAGTCAGAATCAGAAGTCATCAGGTTCATTTTGTGTGTAATAACAAGTCTGAATAATGTAACTACAATATGTAGTAAAAAAGGATAATAACCTAATAACTGAGGATGTAATATACATTTAATAATACAGATAACGTTACATAATGTAATGTAATAACAATTAACAAATAATAAAATTATTTTAATAAAAATATTACATAATAACTGCAAGTATTGTAATAAAAACAGCACATAATTTAACACCTGTGCATATTTTCTTGTTTTAATAATAATTTATGTACAATAACCTGCCGTCATTTCTGGTTTGTACAGTTTAACAGTGTCGTTGTCCATGTGGTCCTGGACCGCAGAGACCTGGTTCAGTTTCTGGTAGCAGGCCCTTCAGCTTGTGCGGCCGTTTTAACCAACTCACCTGGAACTGGTTACACGATACCCAAGATATCTCATCATCATATCTACGATATCTCATGATATCTCACCATATGTCATATATCATATCTCACCATATCTCATTATATCTACGATATCTCATTATATCTATATCTCACCATATCTCATATATCATATCTCATCATATCTCATTATATCTACGATATCTCATTATATCTATATCTCACCATATCTCATATATCATCTCATCATATCTCATATCTATATCTCATCATATCTCATTATATCTACGATATCTCATTATATCTATATCTCACCATATCTCATATATCATATCTCATCATATCTACGATATCTCATTATATCTATATCTCACCATATCTCATATATCATATCGCATCATATCTCATATCTACGATATCTCATTATATCTATATCTCACCATATCTCATTATATCTACGATATCTCATTATATCTATATCTCACCATATCTCATATATCATATCGCATCATATCTCATATCTACGATATCTCATATCTATATCTCACCATATCTCATATATCATATCTCACCATATCTCATTATATCTACGATATCTCATTATATCTATATCTCACCATATCTCATATATCATCTCATCATATCTCATTATATCTACGATATCTCATATCTATATCTCACCATATCTCATATATCATATCTCACCATATCTCATTATATCTACGATATCTCATATCTATATCTCACCATATGTCCGATATCTCATCATATCTCCGATATCTCACCCTATCTACGATTTCTCACCATATCTCATATCTCACCATATCTACAATATCTCATTATATCTATATCTCACGATTTCTCACGATTTCTCACGATTTCTCATGGTATCTCATGATAACTACAATGTCTCACAAAGAACTGAGTGGAAGCATCTTTAATCTCAGCACGCAGACACAAACACAGTAAATTTACAAGTTGTCTTTTAATTTAGAAGAATAACGTACAAATACATGAATAAATAAAATGCACAAAGAAACAGCTGAATGAGATGTGAGGCTTTCTGTTGGTCAGAACTAGGGCTGGCCGATATCATCACGATATTGCTGCAAAAATTATATTACTGACGATGGTTTAGAACAGCATTTGGCAAATAAGTTAGGCATCGAGCCAAAACTCTTTTCAGGCCGTTACATGGCGGGCCAGAAAAATGTCAAATTATTTCAAATCTTGTATGTATGTAATGTAATTGTGTGCAAGTTTACTTCAGTCAGTACTGTGCGGGACTCCCGTATGGACATATTTTTAATGTGGTTTAATGACCTTATTTAACCATGTGAAGTGTCTTTGAGTAGCATGAAAAGCTCTCTATAAATAAAACGGATTATTATTAAGTTATCGTGGGTTGTTGTACAGCTGATCATTTGGGACTGAACCACTTCAACACTCATAAAGTTATTCCCCTTTTTCACTCCTCCACTCCACTACTAGCATTATCTAATTATACCCACATATCGTGATGATATAACCTGCACACCCCGAGTCACAACTTATTGATCAAATACAATATAAATCATGTCTCTAGTGTTCTACAATAAAAACATTTACATTACTAAATACAATAAATCAGCTGTTAGCTTAAAAACTAATGACTCCATAAAAACTAAACAAAATAAGCTAATAATAATTTATGGTAAAATAACAAAACATTAAATGTTAATAAATCTACTTTAAATGATGTATTGTCCATTTATTTTCACTCATTTAACATTTATTCTTTGTAAAGTTTTAGACTATTGTTCACTTGTATATAGTTTATCAAATATATTGATCAAATGTCAAGTTATTATTGATTCATTCATTGATTGATTGGCCGATAGTAATGGGGCCTCGTCCTTTAAGATGTGGCATTGTTTTGTTTTAATGTTGATTATGAAGAACTTTAACAGTAGTTAAAAATATAACAAGAATTCATATCTGAACATGGTTCATCGTGCAGATGTGAAAATGATTTACCTCTATGTTCTTTTATCTAAAGTGCATCAGTGCTTTGTTACCTGAAAATAATAGCTTCATAACTTTACACTGTGAAGGGTTTGTCAGAGCTGATGTCCTCATTCAGGATCCAGGATGGCCTGTCAAACGGAAACTGGACTGACCTGTAAAACATACAGACACAGAAATTAATCAATCACAATGAAATGGTTGTTGCCAATAAAGCTGCATTCAAAAGCTTTGAAGAGTTCTGGACTCTGAACTGGTCATGAGGCTGTAACATCTGTAACGGCCGACAGCATCTGGACAGATTTTTGTCCAACAAAACAATGAAAACAAGAACACACACCTTAAGCAGTCTCACCGAGCCTTTAACGCTAATCAAACCCTGAAACCATGTTACCCGTCAAACACAACAGGTCAAAGAACTGAGGACAAAATGCCCTCACTTTCTAAAACCTGTCCTGCTTTCCAAAATCCTTCAGGCATCAGTGCCCTCATTTAAAAACATCCTGACTTTCCAGGCCTGGAACTTATAGGTGTTACAAAGATAGCAGTACAAGACCATGTACAGACCTTGTTGTGGCAGAAGCCCTGTCCCAGGATCAGCCCCAACAGTGAGTTGAGGATGTTGGCAGCACAGAGGAGAGTCTGCAGCCCGCTGGAGCCCCCCATCACACTGAACAGAGCCACGTTCCACTGAACCACCCCTCTGGGCTCCAGACACACTCCAGACCACAGAGTCCTGTTGTAGAGATAGCCTGCGTGACTGAAAGGAGAGAGAGAGACGAGTCTGCAGGGTCAGGTTCAGGCCTCACATCAAGACGTCCACATTAATCTGAGTCTGTTTCTGGGGTTCTCACCGGTTTGGATCAGGTTGTAGTGGGACCCCCCAGGTGGAACCGGAGGTGGCGTTGTACAGACAGAGAGGACCCTGGGAGAGACCGGTGGCACTGACCAGACAGCAGATCCCAGCAGCCAGCAGACACATACAGGAGTACGCCACCTGACACAACATCTGGATACAGAGACAAACACCTGTTACACCTGACACAACATCTGGATACAGAAACAAACACCTGTTACACCTGACACAACATCTGGATACAGAAACAAACACCTGTTACACCTGCAACACAACATCTGGATACAGAGACAAACACCTGTTACACCTGACACAACATCTGGATACAGAGACAAACACCTGCAACACCTGACACAACATCTGGATACAGAGACAAACACCTGTTACACCTGCAACACCTGACACAACATCTGGATACAGAGACAAACTCCTGTTACACCTGCAACACAACATCTGGATACAGAGACAAACACCTGTAACACCTGCAACACAACACCTGACAACACCTGCAACACAACATCTGGATACAGAGACAAACACCTGTTACACCTGACAACATCTGGATACAGAGAGAAACACCTGTTACACCTGACACAACACCTGACACAACACCTGACACAACACAACATCTGGATACAGAGACAAACACCTGTTACACCTGACACAACATCTGGATACAGAAACAAACACCTGTTACACCTGACAACATCTGGATACAGAGAGAAACACCTGTTACACCTGACAACATCTGGATACAGAGAGAAACACCTGTTACACCTGACACAACACCTGACACAACACCTGGATACAGAGACAAACACCTGTTACACCTGACACAACATCTGGATACAGAAACAAACACCTGTTACACCTGCAACACAACATCTGGATACAGAGACAAACACCTGTAACACCTGCAACACAACACCTGACAACACCTGCAACACAACACCTGGATACAGAGACAAACACCTGTTACACCTGACACAACATCTGGATACAGAAACAAACACCTGTTACACCTGACACAACATCTGGATACAGAAAAACACCTGTTACACCTGACACAACACCTGACACAACACAACATCTGGATACAGAGACAAACACCTGTAACACCTGACACAACATCTGGATACAGAGACAAACACCTGTTACACCTGACACAACACCTGACACAACACCTGACACAACATCTGGATACAGAGACAAACACCTGTAACACCTGCAAGACAACACCTGACACAACACAACATCTGGATACAGAGACAAACACCTGTAACACCTGCAACACAACACCTGACACAACACCTGACAACACCTGCAACACAACATCTGGATACAGAGACAAACACCTGTAACACCTGCAACACAACACCTGACACAACATCTGGATACAGAGAGAAACACCTGTAACACCTGCAACACCTGACACTACATCTGGATACAGAGAGAAACACCTGTTACACCTGCAACACAACACCTGACACAACATCTGGATACAGAGAGAAACACCTGTAACACCTGCAACAGCTGACACTACATCTGGATACAGAGAGAAACACCTGTAACACCTGACACAACACCTGAAACACCTGACACAACATCTGGATAAAGAGAGAAACACCTGACACAACATCTGGATACAGAGAGAAACACCTGTAACACCTGACACAACATCTGGATAAAGAGAGAAACACCTGACACAAAACCTGTAACACCTGGATACAGAGAGAAACTGCAACAAATTTGTAACCTGAAAGTCACAAATTAAAGTTTTCTGGGCAACAATAATCACAAAACACTCCGTCAGCTCACCTCACTTCTGAAAGCACAGCAGCCTCTAGTTTTGCTGCTCTGCACAAACGCTCGGGCTCCAAGCAGAACCTGAAATCAGACATGAAGACAAACATCAGTGATTGCATGAATATTCATACTGATATATATGAATATTATATATGAATATTATTATTCTGTAATTTGAGCATTGTTGGAGAAGTGCTTCACTGTCACTGCTGTACAAATGACAAGAAAAGTACTTCACACACTGAATCTGATTCAGCCTCAGAGACGCAAATAAACCAGCATGTGACGAACACCAAAATACACACGAGTCAAACACACACACAGCACATGACACACACTACATACGTGTAGACACACACACACACACACACAGGACACATGACCAGTGGTGGGCAGCATCACCTGTTTTCAGCTTGTTGACACCTCAGGTTCATTATTGATTAATTTCTAAAATGAGATGCTGAACAGGCAGCCGTCACTTGGGGATGAGAGTAATATAGTAACGAAACTAGTTACTTTGAATACTCAGTACTAAGTAAAGTAATATTAGTACTTTTTAAAAGGAGTAATAAGCAAAAAGTAACTTTTTTACAGAGTAACAAGCCCAACACTGGACATGACACAGACTATACATTTAGAGACACACGTACCAGGAAGCCAGACCCCCACAGCCCCGTGGCCCAGGTGGCCTCTCTGGTCACATGACCCTCCAACAGGAAGCGGATCTTCAGTTCAGGAAGCAGCAGCAGGATGTTGGACAGCATACATACGATCGCCATGGGAACCAGAGAGACACCGACACATCGCAGACACCTCGACACGCACATCTGTAATGGCAAACTCAATCAGCCTTTACAGCAGTGGTTCTTAAAGCAGGGTCCAGGCCCCCCCAAGGGTCCTTAAGAGGGTTCAAGGCGTCCCAGCAAAGCATTTTGTAATAATTCCATCCATAAGCAACACAATAACAGAATGCAGGACTAACTGGGCTGTCAGATGGCTGTGTGACTTTCTACAGAGCAATAGTTTATTTGAGGATTTTCAGTCAGGATTTAGAGCTCATCATAGCACAGAGACAGCAATGGTGAAAATTACTAACGACCTCCTTATTGCATCAGACAAAGGACTTGTCTCTGTACTGGTGTTATTAGATCTTGGTGCTGCATTTGATACCATTGACCATCTGGTCCTATTGCAGAGACTGGAATATTTCATTGGCATTAAAGGAACCACTCTAAGCTGGTTTAAGTCCTATTTATGAGATCGATTTCAGTTTGTACATGTTAACGATGAGTCCTCCATGCATGCCAAAGTTAGTCATGGAGTTCCTCAAGGATCTGTCCTCGGACCAATCCTCTTCACTTTATATATGCTTCCCTTAGGCAATATTATCAGGAAACATTCCATAAACTTTCATTGTTATGCAGATGATACTCAGTTATATCTATCGATCAAGCCAGATGAAACTAATCAGTTAGCTAAACTTCAAATGTGCCTTCAGGATGTTAAAACCTGGATGACCTGTAATATTCTAATGTTAAACTCAGATAAAACTGAAGTTATTGCTCTGGGGCCTAAGCACCTCCGTGACGCATTATCTAAAGATATAGTTTCCCTGGATGGCATCGCCCTGGCCTCCAGCACCACTGTGAGGAATCTTGGAGTTATCTTTGATCAGGACATGTCGTTTAAGTCTCACATTAAGCAAATTTCAACGACCGCCTTTTTTCACCTACGTAATATTGCGAAAATCAGGAACATCCTGTCTAAAAATGATGCAGAAAAACTAGTCCATGCATTTGTCACAGGAACCAGGAAAAGAGATCACATTTCTCCTGTTTTAGCTTCTTTGCAATAGAATTTAAAATCATTCTTGTAATGAAACGAATGAACTGGAACTAGTGACGAGCTCTATGTGACACTACTATCTGGAATAATAATGAATGCAGTAACATTAGCCCTCATCAAACCTCAACGAAGCAGAAAACAGTTTCTGAATCAGTTGAATCTCACTAAGCTGGTGAAATGTTACGAACAGGCCGACTGTAAACTGAAGGCCGACATTAGATCTGTGTGAACGCATAACCACGTCTCGTGCACGAAGACGCAAATTGCTGCTGATGGTTTGACATTTTCCCGTTGATCCACAGGCGTCAGAAACGCTGCACAGAGATGCTGCAACACGCCAACAGAGACAGTGAAGAAGAAGAAGAAGAAGAGCGTCGTCCACAGCTCAACACCAACATCCTTGTTCCACAGTAACAGCTCTGAAAGAGTGAGACGCCAGCGTTTCTTTGGCCTCCTCTTTCCCATTGGCTGCGTCCACGTCACCTGACTGCCAGGTTTCCTCCTGTGGACATTCTCTCTATTCTCAGTGGCGATGTTTAAAGATATCTCTCTGTCTCTGTGTTAAAATGAGCTTTCATTGGAACATTCAGTGACACTAAAGGTAAACAGAAATGCTTGAAATCTTTAAGTTTTCCCACTGAAAATCCTGAAAGAGTGATCAGCTTCTGTTTCCTTTTCTTTTACATACAAGATAAAAGCTCCAGGGTAAAAAGGCGGCAAACAACTATTATTATCACGATCAACTGATTTGTTGTATAACACACAAACATCTAAACAGCTTGAAGTGTGCAGTCCAAACAACACAGAAAACAACCTGATCTGGAAGGAAACATTCACTGAAAACCTGACACATGATTTCACTGCTACTCTTAAAAAGTCATTGGAGTCGTAATGAAGCTGCTGAAACGAGATTCAAAGTGACATGATGAAAATCTCATACATTTGTTCCTGCAGCAGCTGCTGCTGAGAGTAACTCACCCTGAAGAGCTGCTGTCAGACGGACGATCCAGATCAGAGTCTGAGGAACAAACAGGGACTTTTATAAAGCTCACACTCACTGCCATATATGGAAACAGGAAGCATCCTGAGCCTCTGTGGGAATAAACATCCCATGTGAACAGGAGCTAAAGGAGCGAGGACAGAGCTGCTTCATGAACGTATCTGTTAACAGATACAGAGCCTGTGAAGACATCCATCTGCTCTCAATCCACTTTCTCAATCCAGTTTCAGACCCAAACCTGAATCCATCCATTTGCGTGTCACGTCTACACATTTTAACCTTCTCGCTGTCATTCAAGGCCAACAAAGGTTTCACGAGTTCTGGATAAGTGACCTTCATCTTTTCATTGGTCAGAACAGCGGACAGCAGTCAAAGTGCCAAACCACCTCTCAGCAGGGAGGAGGCCTGAGACTCCACTCGCCTGCAGTGCTTTCATCTCTTCCCAGGAGACGGAACAAACGCCCACCTTTGGCCTCATGGTGCAACACCAACGTTCCAGCGTTCAGACTCGACCTCAGGTGTCAACTAAACCAGCGCAGCAGCTTCAGCCTCCAGAAACACGCCAACACACAGTCTGTCAATAACAACAGACCAATAGCAGCTTCAGCCGCCACAGCGCCACCGAATGAATGATGGCACCCGACCACGATCCACGCAGCATTTGTCGCCGTCCCTCGGGGGGCCCCTCTGATCAGCTGGGCAACGCGTCGGCTGCATCATCGGTTCATACGCCACCGGTGTGTGACCCATCATAAACCCAGACCTCAACCTACATGGACTCTTCAGCGCCAGAACACAGACTGAGAAGGACCTTCAAACCGGCAACAGTGTGACAGAGGTCAGAGGTCACAGAGGAAATACAGTATGATGCAGGATGGAGAAGTGAAAGACATAAAAATATAAGTTTTTCTCTGGACTTCGTCTTTCTATCTTTTTCCACTTCCTCTAAAAAAGGTCTTATTTTAGCACATCTGCGGACAGTTAGTCACTATGAGGACAGCAAAGACTCATGGGAAACCTGATCACGTTTGACCTGTCATCCAGGGCTGACACACACACTTTAAACTGGTCTGGGTCCAGCTGTTTGGACCGAGACCTTCAGGATGTGGATAAAGTCCAGAGGGGTGCGCGGTGCAGGACACAGTCCACACTGAAGTGAATCAGAGTCAGATCACTTTTAAAGGACTCGCGCTTCCCGCTGAAGATGAAACTGACTGAAGAACTCAAAAACACATCATGGTGTGAGACCAGGTTTAGACGTGGACACACGGGACCATCTGACCAACCATAGTCACACCCACAGCACAGCGAGGACCGTGAACCATCGGATCCACAAGGTCAGCGGTTTGATGAGCAGAGCTTCAGACGCCACAGAAACCGATTTAACTTCCTGAGACAGACCCGTTCCCACGACACATTACTCAGACTGAGGAAATACACATATGGAGGCCCAGGACCCGCCCTGCCTCCTCCTCCGAGGGGGGGGTGGAGACACAGACCATTATGTCACAGCCAGAATGCATTAGCTGTGGGTGAATAAGCTAAGCTAGTAGGCTAGCTGGGATCTCAGCTAACAGGGAGGGTCTGAAAGGGAGTGAAGAGATTTCAACAGAAAATCCAGACCATGGATACCGGACCGTGGGGACCAGACCATGAGGACCGGACCATGAGGACCGGACCGCGGGGACCAGACCATGAGGACCAGACCATGAGGACCGGACCGCGGGGACCAGACCATGGCGACCGGACCATGAGGACCAGACCGTGGGGACCGGACCGTGGGGACCGGACCGTGGGGACATAGTCACACCCACAGCACAGCGAGGACCGTGAACCATCGGATCCACGAGGTCAGCGGTTTGATGAGCAGAGTTTTAGACGCCACAGAAACTGATTTAACTTCCTGAGACAGACCCGTTCCCACGACACATTCCTCAGACTGAGGAAATACACATATGGAGGCCCAGGACCCGCCCTGCCTCATCCTCCGAGGGGGGGGGTGGAGACACAGACCATTATGTCACAGTCAGCCAGAATGCATTAGCTGTGGGTGAATAAGCTAAGCTAGTAGGCTAGCTGGGATCTCAGCTAACAGGGAGGGTCTGAAAGGGAGTGAAGAGATTTCAACAGAAAATCCAGGACGGAGGAACCCGACCATGGATACCGGACCATGGTGACCGGACCGTGGATACCGGACCGTGGGGACCAGACCGTGGGGACCGGACCGTGGGGACCGGACCGTGGGGACCAGACCGTGGGGACCGGACCATGAGGACCGGACCGTGGGGACCGGACCGTGGGGACCGGACCGTGGGGACCGGACCGTGGGGACCGGACCGTGGGGACATAGTCACACCCACAGCACAGCGAGGACCGTGAACCATCGGATCCACGAGGTCAGCGGTTTGATGAGCAGAGTTTTAGACGCCACAGAAACTGATTTAACTTCCTGAGACAGACCCGTTCCCACGACACATTCCTCAGACTGAGGAAATACACATATGGAGGCCCAGGACCCGCCCTGCCTCATCCTCCGAGGGGGGGGGTGGAGACACAGACCATTATGTCACAGTCAGCCAGAATGCATTAGCTGTGGGTGAATAAGCTAAGCTAGTAGGCTAGCTGGGATCTCAGCTAACAGGGAGGGTCTGAAAGGGAGTGAAGAGATTTCAACAGAAAATCCAGGACGGAGGAACCCGACCATGGATACCGGACCATGGTGACCGGACCGTGGATACCGGACCGTGGGGACCAGACCGTGGGGACCGGACCGTGGGGACCGGACCGTGGGGACCGGACCGTGGGGACCAGACCATGAGGACCGGACCGCGGGGACCAGACCATGAGGACCGGACCGCGGGGACCAGACCATGAGGACCGGACCGCGGGGACCGGACCATGGGGACCGGACCGCGGGGACCGGACCATGGGGACCGGACCATGGGGACCGGACCGTGGACCGGGGGACCAAACCGTGGATACCGTGGATGAGGATCTCAGCTAACAGGGAGGGTCTGAAAGGGAGTGAAGAGATTTCAACAGAAAATCCAGGACGGAGGAACCCGACCATGGATACCGGACCATGGTGACCGGACCATGGGGACCAGACCGTGGATACCGGACCGTGGGGACCAGACCATGAGGACCAGACCGTGGGGACCGGACCGTGGGGACCAGACCGTGGGGACCAGACCGTGGGGACCGGACCGTGGATACCGGACCACGGAGACCAGACCAGGGGGACCGGACCATGGGGACCCGAACACGAGGACCGGACCGTGGGGACCACACCCTGGGGACCCTTGAAGACCAGACTGTGGGGATTGGACCATGGGGACCCGACCAGGGGGACCGGATCATGGGGACCAGACCGCTCTTCGTTCTTTAATTATACCTTCGCTTGGTCATCAAACTGAAAGTAGTCAGTGAGTCCGTGATACTGCAGTATTACTACTCTCCCCAGTAACTAGTACTGCAAGGATTACTATTCCCTAACAGTAATATTACAGTTACTAATCACAGTAACGCTGCGTTACCTGAACTTGTGTTGTTGTCCTTGACGTGAATGAGCAGGTTCAGTTCAGTCCAGAAGCCGGACCTGATTAGAGGTGTGGAAAATTAGCTAAACAGCTGCAGCAGAAGGGAGGAGGAGGGACAGAGAGGCGTTCTGTCCTCAGCTGGAAGTATCACCATCACTGTGTCTCGGGACTTTGAGAAACATCTCAGCCACCAACAACAACAAGAGCTACAGATGCATGCTGGGAGAGAGCGGCGCTGAGCTGAGGTGGTGAAAGTAATACAGTAACTGGTTACTATTAAAACCCAGTAATAAGTATTATTACTTTGTAAGGAGTAAACAGTAAATAATTATAATTTCAGAGATCCAGCACTTCCCTTCCTGTGGGAACGGAGACATGAGTTTCACAGGTGACGAGTCATCAGACCACTTTTCTGCCGCCACACAAGCTTTTTTATTTAAACACGTCCATCCTCTGTCTTCCAGCACGGGAACTCTGAAAACATTCACCGCCTGCTAACATTTTTAATGATCTGACAGCCCAGGGTCTGGATCTGGTTTCTAAACACAGATAAGCACGGGCTCGCCTCAGACCTGGTCTGAATTCAGTCCTCGCCGTGAGAAATCGCCCATTTTCCCGCCACAGGTGAGCCCAGCTGCGCCCACTGCTCCAGGTAGGCTGATTTTCACCGACCTGATGGCCAAACGTGAGCTGTAGGTGTGAAAACCTCCGCTGGTGTCGCGGCAGAAAAGTGATCCGACTCTCGCGACCTCTAATTTCTGAAACATGCGGGCCGTGTGTTCAGGTGCAGAGTCACGGGTGGACACCTCAGAACGTGTCGAGGCTCCTTAGAAACCTGCCGCCGCCTTTCTCCTGCGAGGTCATGTGACCTGGTGATAAGATGATAAAGGACCAAACGAATGAAGCTGTTTTCAGATCAGTTTTTATTTGGTAGAAACTCTGAAGGTAAAGAAATAGAGTCTGTCCTGATGAATCAGAGGCTTTATTCTCTGTAAGGTGGCCTGTTAGGGACATTTCAGGTCTACAGGTCAGACCCCCCTCCCCCCAGACCCTTTGTTCTGGTCTGTTTCCATGAGGACCAGTGGCCGTGGTTCCACCGAGGTCTTGTGGAACCACTGAAACTGAAAAACTAATTTACAGAAGGTGAAACTGAAAAACTAAAATACGTGAACTCGTTTCAGCGTCAAACTTAAAAACAAGCCGCTCAGAGATTCACTCACTGCGGGGCCACAGGTAGGGGACCACCACAGAGCCGCTGCTGAGGCCCTCAGGACGTCTGGACCAGGAGGAGGGATGTGACCTGATCACCTGAGACTGTGTCCACTGAGGACTGACCTGAAACATCCCATGACCCGGGTCCAACAGATGATGAGGTGTAACGAGTCAGTACGAAGTCGCACGATAATCACGTGTCCACATGTAGTGAAGAACGTGAACTCTGTGGGCACTTTCTGGTTTCACTGTTAGTCTGCGGACACAGAGAGCTCAGCTGCGGAACATCTCCGTCAGGGTGGTCTGTTTGCTGCTGGTCTTTGTAGTCTTTACAGCTGAGGAGGAGGTCTTTGTAGTCTTTACAGCTGAGGAGGAGGTCTTTGTAGTCTTTACAGCTGAGGAGGAGGTCTTTGTAGTCTTCCTGGAGGGTCTGCTGGGAGTGTGGGAGCTGCTGGCCTCCACCTCCCCGCTGCGGGTCTGGCGGAGCAGGTAAGCATCAGAGGACCCTTTGCGTCTGTCGGTGGCTCTCTGCTTCACCTCCTGGTCCAGCTCCTTCTGCAGGAGCAAAGCCAGCCGCCGGTCCTCGTCCTCCTGCTGCCGTCTGCTCAACAGCTCCGCCTCCCACTCCAAGGTCCCCTGCAGGGTCGAACCCCCACCCTCCAGAGAGGAGGAGGAGGAGGGGAGGGGCAGAGAGCAACAGACTCGTTTCGTCCCCGTCTCCTCCTCCACTTCCGCTGTCTCTTGCTCCAAGTTCTTCCTCTTGGACGATGAGGGTCCCCCGTCTCCGATCAGGTGGCTCCTGAGGCTCCCGGGGTAGAGCTGCTCCTCCACTGAGGCTGATGGGGAGGTGGGACAGAGGGGCGGAGCTTCTGACATGTCGCGGGTCGTCTGAGGGCCATAATAGTCCAGTTTAGGGAGGGGGCGCTCGGACTGCAGCTGAGAGACGAGGATGTTCTCCTGAAACAGAAAGTTCATTAAGCATTAAGACTGAAGAGAGAGGGAGACAGCTACGCCCCTCCTCCACCCGGCAGCTAGTTAGCTTAGCATAAAGTTAGCATTAAGACTGAAGAGAGGGGGGGGGGGCAGCTACACCCCTCCTCCACCCAGCTGCTATTTAGCATAGCATAAAGTTAGCATTAAGAATGAAGAGGGGGGGGACAGCTACGCCCCTCCTCCACCCAGCAGCTAGTTAGCTTAGCATAAAGTTAGCATTAAGACTGAAGAGAGGGGGGGGACAGCTACGCCCCTCCTCCACCCAGCAGCTGTGTCGGTGCTAAGCTGCTAACCTAGTGACGCTCTGTGTGGGTCTCTCTGATTGGCTGGGTTGGTGGGTTGGGCCTGGGGAGTATCTGCTGCTGACTGGACCTCAGAACCTTTGGAGGTTGACTGAGTTGGACCTGTGGCGAGTTCAATCTTAAAATGTTTTCTGATTGAACATGTGCAACGTTTCACAACGTGAAAAAGGGCTTCGAAGTAGGTTTTCTCCGTTTGGTGGGCGTGTCAGAGGTCTTACCCAATCAGCAGCGACAGGTATGTAAACACAGCGGTATTAAACGGCAGTAAAGTGCAGCATGCCTGCATTCACAACAAGGAGTACAGCGCACCACCGTTTCTGTTGTTATAAACGTTTTGCTCCGTTTGGTTGGCGCTGAACTCGGCCCTGGTTTAGCTGAAGCTCAGCATCAGGTTAGTGAAGGTCTGTTTGTTTCAGCACTATGAGGAGACGTTCTGGTTCTGTCTGAATCATTGATCAGACGGTGGTTTGGGGGCCGGAGGGAACAGAGGAAGAGGAGCAGCTGAGTAAAGAGTGAACTGACCTTGTTGGCCCTAAGCCTGGACGCAGAGCTGCAGTCTGAGGAGCTGGTGTTAGAGGGACGAGGACTCAAGAACCTGAAAAACACAGAAACCACATCACTTCATCCAGAACTCTGATCTGATCTGACGCTCTGTGCTGAACATAATACTTTAACTGATGACCCAGTTACTCATACCGGTCACATGGACCTACTTGTCGATCTGTCCGGCGGCGACCTCCTTCTTCTTCTTGGCCGGAGTGGCGTCAGCAGGACGCAGGTTGTCCTGAGAGACGGCAGCAGAGTTCTGCAGGAGACAGACGGAGGCACAGGTGAGATATCATTAAAAATGTAAAATGTAAACCCATCAAGCCTGCAGAGCCGGTCCTGATGGGGGGCGCTGCAGGAAAGAGCATGTGAGGTGCCGTACCAGCTGGCTGCTGAGCAGTCTGGCCAGCCTCTCGTCCTCCTCCCGCCTCCTCCTCTCCTCCTGCAGCAGCTGCTCCTCCTCGGCCAGCAGCCTCTGGATGTACTCCTCGCTGGCTCTCTTCTCCTCCTCGTCCAGCGCTCGCTTCTCCTCCGACAGCTGTAAAAACAACCAACCACACGTCACAAACTGCCGCCATCCCAGCGGTCGATGACTTTAAGAGCCTGGATGCAACGGTTCTCCAAATCCAAACTCGGGGGGGGGGGGGGGGGGCATTGTTATTATTGGCGACAGTATGAACCTTGGAGGAAGCGGCGGGGCCAACATCAGGTGTGTTCGCAGCAGAGGTGTGTGGAGAAAAGGGAGGTGAAGAGAAACAGCAGATTGAGGTAGTGAGTAAACTCTAAACTAAAGTGGAGCATGAAGAAGAATGAAATGATTAAATAAAGTACCTGTGACCCTACGAGGGAGGGGGGGGGGGTCAGAAACACAGGAAGTGATGGAGAGAGACAGGAAGTGAGCGGGAGAGAGGGAACATCATGCAGCTGCAGCGTAAATCATCCAAGCTGCTGAAAGAGACACAGACACATCATCACCACACAGAGTCTTAACTTACTTTAGTGAGCTGGTCCTCATATTCCTGCCTCACCTCTCCGGGCCGACTCACCCTGGGAAAACACACCGAGACTGCGCACACACACACACACACACACACACACACACTCAGTGGAATCTGTTCTTGACTTGTTTTTAATGCAGCTGGGCAACAATTAAAAATTTTTAAATTGCAAAGTTATGGGCTAAATTGAATAATGACTTATAAAG